GCAGCCGGAGCCTCCGCTTCCACCGCCTGCAGATCCGCCGCCGACGGTGAACACTGAGAAGCCAGATGTTGCTAGAAGTGCCGCTGGACTAAACCAGATCGGTCAGGATGGTCGGTCAGGGGGGATTGCAGGGCTTCAGCAAAGAATCAACTAGACTATATATACAATACAAAGATTATCAAAGATTTCAATCCTGGTCAAAACCGATATCATTCTGATCTTTTGAAGTTTTGAAGAAGAGTTTAGGATGTTTAGGATGCTCGGGTACAGTTTCAGAGGCTCAAGCATCGCGATCGTCTCGTATATTTCGTTCTGCTGATCACTCGGGTCGGCAATGATGGCAATGCCTCTCAAGGTGGCAGTCTTTGCGTGTTTGCTCGTGTGTGTTTCATGTGCCCGAAACAAAGTCGCAGACACAGCAACGCTGACTCCACGAGCAGAGTGGTATGACGCTTGGGACGATTTCGCATGGTGGCTTCAATTCGCCAAAGACTTTCGAGGAGAGTTCTTATTTTATCTTATGTTCTTTCTTTATTTGTTTTTTTATTTGTTTGTCCCCCCTTCTAAGTGATCAGGTTGTTATTTGTATTTACCAGGCGGATTTTTTCATATTTTTTGTTGGACTTCAGACCAGGACCCACAGATTTGTCCTGTCTCGATGTGTTTTCCGCTTCGGGGAAAGTCATGGATGCCTTCGTAAAGCAACATTGCCGTGCAGCCAAGTACGATATTTTGAGCGGCGGGGCGAATGAAGATTTATCCTCCCGTGAAGGTTTCCATACCTTGCTTTTGAAGGGATTACGTCTCATGACCTTTGCTTTGGTCATGTGCGGCCCGCCTTGTAGCCTCTTCATCTTCTTGAGTTCATCGCAGCATTTGCGCCATTTGTATGGAGCAATGGGATCTCCGTGGGATGTGCCAACGCAACTGGCAAACATCATTGCCGGAAACATGGCATGCTTCCTGCATATCATCAAGATTGCTCGCAAGCCCTGGATCGTTGTTGAGCAACCAAAGGGATCTTGGTTGCTTAAACTTCCTCGGGTGTTGGACCTGATCAGCACGTGCAAGTTCATGCGGGTGAGCACTTACATGTGCTTTTGGGATCTTCGGAGATTTGTTTCAATATGTTTTGAAATACAAATATTGTTGTATTTTTGGATTTTTCTGTATGATTACTATGATCACTATGTCCGTCGCGGTTTGAGCTTGATTGTTTTTGGATGTTTGGGGGCTTGGGTTTCCAGAGTCGCTGAGGGCCACCAACTTGAGAAAGCCACTACGTTGGTGGGTGACCTTCCAGGTTTGAAGAGTTTGAAACGCGTTATTACCAAGAAGAAGCGGGAACACTACAAGAAGATTCGGGCCAAGAAGAACCAGCCTCCAATGTACATTGTGACTGAGCGTGGAGTTCATGGCACGCGCCATCTGGCCAAATCCGCTGTGTATCCCACGCGCTTTTGTACCGCCTTGGCAAAGCTATGGCTTAGAGATCTTAGAGAACACCAAGGATACCAAGGTTTGCCAAGCTCATACTGAATGAGCTTTTTGAGCAAGCTTTTCAAAAATGATAAACATGTGGCACAATTGCCTGTAAAGATCAGTGTCAGTGTGCGATCAGATTGATCGCCGGGTAGGTAGCTGACCGAGTTGCGACGACAAAAGCGTTGGCCAAACGGAAGTTGGTGGATTTTGTGGGTTTTTGCAATCGTGATGATACATATACAATATGTATCAATATGTACAATAGTTCACAATTTATAGAGTCTATACACAGGTAGACACTATATACAATTTGAAATATGTTGGTCTATCCAGAGGTCCAGCTGGTTGGCATACATTGGCATAGTAGTGATCGAGGTGGTTGGGCATACGTGTGTCCGGATCCAAGGACAATCGGGATGCGACAGTGACTTCGGCAGATGATGCAGATGTTGAGATGGAAAGCAAGGGCCAGGAGATTCTGCAGCCGCCGCCGCTGACTGCAGAGCTAGCCACACCGACTTTGGAGACAGACGCCTGCCATCTCTTTATATAGTTTTATATATAGTCCTTAATTTTGTTTGCTTCTTTGTGTTTCTGTTTCCAACTTGACCAAGCTGCTAAGATGTTGTGATAGTTCATTTGGATGGCTGTGTATTCTTCATAGAGCCTGGATCCCAGGAACGGCAGGAAGATTCGGGGTCTGCAAAGGAGATGACCAAAGATCATCCTACACCACCCCCTTCACAACCACGAGCGACCAAGCCGGATATCCAGAGTGGCGCCCAATGCGACATTGCCCGTGCACTGACAGCTTTTGCGGCTTCGAAGAGTTCCGAGGAAGGCAGCGATGTCAGCTGTAATGTGTTCGCAATGTTCAACTGGCAGGGAAAGGTTTCTAATTTATTTCCTCAATTTTCCTCAGGTGTCTTACTTCAAGATAGGTATGATAGGTCACATGGTCAGCCCCCATGGAAAATATTTCAAATTGAGTGTCTGGAGTGGGGGTAGTTGTGTGTGGAAAGGTTTGTAATTTATGTCCTGGGGTGTCTACCTTGAAGATAGGTCATGTCAATGAACATAATGAACATGGTCAGCCCCCAGGGATAAAAATTGTGTTGGCAGTTTATGTTTGGACTTTGTAAGTCATTGGGGCTGTTTCTGGGCTAGGG